CTACCCTAATGGACTGGCTCGAAGCCTTAAAAATGTATAAGAGATTAAAGCTCACTTTTCATTCGTCCACGACGGCATTAAATAATAAATACATTCACACGGCTTGATACGCTACATTTTAGAAATTAGAAGGCCTGACTTGCTACTACGCCAAAAATAATATTGAATAAGTAACTAATGACGGGATAAAACAATAACGGGAACCATAAACCCTGAGGTAACATAAACAAATAAAAACTTATTTCTGATCTCTTACTACATACACAACATGCAATATTCAAGCAGTATTACACAGCGACCTGCCGCCGACAGACAATACACACAACTATTATATATTATGTACATGTTAACTACTGCCACAAATAAGTATATTATGTATTATTACGTATAATAAGTAAATAAAGGACACGACAGGGCGGGGATATGTATATAGAAAAAAAAATAGAGAAATATACAATAAACTCTATTTAAACATGAAATTTATTAAAGATAAAAACATACAATGTTTGTTTTACACAAAATAAAATACCTGGAGGGTTATTGTCGAGCGCCAGGGCGGCATTAGCGGAGGCGGGGCGCGCCCTGGCGCCCGCGGCAGATATACATAGTGCGACAGGTCCATATATAGTCCAATAATATAATACCATAGCATATGATAAAAGTGTACACATATATGATACTGTCAAGCCAACTAAAACTCACAAAAAGTCATGTCGCGCTCTCGCGAATATAAAACTATGTTAAATCTTACAAAAATACTTATGTGACTAATTTGAAATGCACATATAGGATCTCGCTTTCCGTCTACAAAAATAATCTGAAATTGGAATGAAAATCTTTCTTAAGCATTCGGCCTGGGAACGATCACAAAAGTTACGGCGTTCATAACGTCCGCACACAATTTAATTATTTCTCTTCTGAGTCTTAAAGCTAACCGATAGAACCTGTCCGTTGAGCGTATATCCATTGAGCGCTTGTATGGCCATAGCAGCCTCATCATACTCACGCATATTCACAAATGCAAAACCTTTATTTTTCTTTGTTTCAGGATCTTTGATCACTTTTATGGAATCAATTGCACCATAAGGACCAAAGAGTTGCCATAGAGCCAGCTCCTCAGTGTCCTCACCAATGTTGTATACATACACTGTGGTTTGATGTGGAGTGGGCGCCGCCCCCAGTAGCGGCACGGGGCTGGCCGGCGCCCCCAGTAGCGGGAGCGGCGTGTGGTTGGTGGCGGCCATCGGGTTGAAGCGCTGCTGGCCCTTGTTGATGAACGGCAGCGCCTTACCAGGCGATGGCAGCAGGGGCGGGGGCGAGGCTTGCGGGAACCCTGGGGCGAAGGCAGCCGGCCTCGCTCCGAATGCTGCGCTGAGGTTGGTGCCGTTAAAGGCGGCGGGCGTGGTGCCGTTGAAAACTGCTGTGGCGCCGTTGTAGGCAAGCGGCGCAGCGCCCACTGCGACGCGGGGCGTCGGCCGCGGCGCGTTCTTATTCGCATTTGGTTTGTTTGCGAATTTGACAACTATGGCGCCAGCGGCCGGGATCGGCGACTGTCCGTTCATATGTTTGATTGCCTCCTCAGCCTGGGGCCTCGTCTCGTAGCACACGAACCCGATGCCTTGCGAGACCCGACTGTTCGTAATGACACCAAACTGACTGAATAAACTATTGAGACGCTCTAACGTCATGTCTGGAGGGAGATTGCTAATGTAAAGGTTGGACTCCGTGTCAGGTTTGTGGCTGACCTTATTTTCGGGGTTCAGTAGTGCGAATGACACTTTCAGGGTCTTTCCTTGCATGAGGAGGCCGTTGAATGCCGCCCGCGCCTTTTCAGCATCCTCGTGTTTCTCATACTCGACGAAGCCGTATCCTCGGTTGGCTATCAATTTACAGCTCTCTATCTTGCCCATGGCGGAGAAGAGTGCGTACATCATATCACGCGTCATCAGCTCGGGTATGTAATTGACCATGAGTTTGGTCGGTGACACATTGTTGGCGTCGCCGCCGCCATTCTCCATCTCGTTTTTAATCATTGTTCTTTTACAGTAAAACTACACTACAGAAAACAAAATACTAATAAAAATCACACTGAACAGTTGTTTACTTCATTTGCGACATGTATAACGAACAAAGAACGAACACAAAAAGTCCCAGTCACACTAAAATGCCACAGCGACGCCGGTTCACAAGTTCATCATCACACGAACGAGTTTGTTTTTGGAATGTTACCAGGTTCTGCCCTTTTTGTTTGGCAAATATGAAATGCAACTAGTTGTTGAATTATTACATTTCACTTCATTTATATCCGTTATTTGTCCGACTTAATGCAGTGAATTATTTAATTGGCACGTGTTTGGATATTTGGTTACTGTCAAAATAATTATTTTATAATTTTTTGATCGCGTGGCACATTTTTATTACGTTGTCTATGATATAAATCAAAACCGTTAGAACCTCTGTAAATTTATTTGTCACCAAACACTATTGTTAAAATTAAAATATGAACTTTAGTAGCATTATGCTGCTAAATTCAAATGGATAATTATGTATACAAGAATATAATACTAAAATTTTATAAGACATTGATTTAACAATTGAAGCATTTTTTTAATTATCCTTAGATAAAGAAGTTTCGGGAACAACCGGGAAATATTTACAAACTTCAATAAAAGATGAATAGGAAAGTTTTGATACGTCTATGGTCCCATAAATCCTTTTCAAAAAATACGTTATAGATTGTTAAAACTCGTGAAATTACAAGAAGGGTAAAGTTGATGATATAAATTTTTATTGAAGAATATAATATTTTTTCTGACGCATGTTAAAAATTATTAATTGTTTCTTGTGATCTTGTCACACCAATCAGCTGGTTGACAGCGGATAGGTTGTTAATTATGTCAAGGAAAATGTCAATATCAACGAACAGCTGGGTATGACAGTAGGTACGTCAAAATGTACTGTCAAATTGTTAATTCTATTTAATCTGTCAAAATTGCATGAACCAAATCAGTCAATGTTTTTAAACCAAATTTAATTATTAATAATTGTAATTTTCTGAGAATATCAGAATGTTCCTAACAAATATTCTATGCAAGAAGGCGAAGAGCAAGTATGTTTTCGTAAATATTTGTAACTTTTGTTTGTAGATGAAATGCATTTAGTCAATAAATTCTATTTGAATTTTCAGGCTGATTATGGTTCTGATGGAAAGTGTAGTGTCTGGTCACCAAACTACGATGATAAGGGAGCGTCTAGCCGATAAATTGGAGTTTATACGCTTCGACCCTTACAGTGAGTAAAACATTAGATTATTGTATAACCTCAAAACAACTAATTACTCTACGTCTATGAAGATATGTTTAATTGGTCGTCTGACGAAAGGTTTTTACCAGACAGAGAAATTCAGGATATCCTCGATAAAGAGGACAGTAAACATGCTAAAGATTTCAGATAATTGAAATTCCTTATCCAGCCGACAGTACCAGCATCAAGCATTCATTGTGTACATCTAAAATTACTTAATCAAGCTGTGTCTCCCTATTTTTTGACTATTAAAATTGTGTTATTGCTTTAAGGTCTTAATCATAACTTCTTTACTTTTTTTTTATTATTAATTTATCCACTTGACTGCTGGTCCTAACACAATAGACAATACATTGATCTGGCATACAATGGGTTTTTTCTGACTGATGAGTCATTATACTGAAAAGTATAATGGATTTTCAAAACTTATAATTCATAAGCAATATAAATGGATTACCTCCTAGGTTGACATTACCTCTCTTTGTGGTGTCGAACAGATCACCTAACTCGACTAACTGCAATACTCAACACTCCAAGAACTATGAGAGTGCTGCCGGCCTTGACTCCTTACTTCAGCACCAACTACTATGTTTAGGGATATATTTACTCTTTTAGAAATTTTCTTACATATTCTCCAAATATAGGTATTCTACTCAGTGAATTACAACACCATACCTTCCTTTTCACATAAGTTTCATATTATGAGAAGAAAAAAGAACCATCTTCTGGCAGAGTACAGTAGTGTTATTTGTTTGTAATGTGAAATCAGTATTTTCCATACCCCAGGCAAGGTTTTGTTGCCATAATCTGTCGTTATCTTCTGAAAACGTTGTAATAAACATCCCAATGCTATGTTCTTAGACTTGGGAATCTAACCCAAGATTCCTTTACACTAAATCAATGACATTGTCTACTCTATATACTTTGTAAAATATTAAGAAAAATGCCTCAATAGATTTCCCTGACTTGGAATCCAAGAGTTTCATTTTTTTTGTTTCAGTTCAGCAAGAAAGTTTATACAAGGAGAGGAAGAAGATTAGGAGCATAAAGTCGACATAAGTTTAGCAGGAATGTGTATAAGTATGTAGGTAATAGGATATAAATAATATACAAAATGTTTTAAATGTTATAATTTAGTTATTGTACTTTAAACAATAAATAAATCTTTGGATACAATGTGTTTCACTATACATACTAGAAAATTATGAAACATCTCTGTCATTAAGAACTGCATGTTACAATTTGCTACCAAATTTAATTGTACAGAGCAGAGTCTAATATATGTTCAATATAATGAGTTTAGAATATATGCTTTACTTTCCAAGTTCTTACGGCTAAGTCCGTTATTGTATGCAATTGATAAAATTTCAAAATTACATGAGTGCTTCTTCGTCCAATGTGCCTTATTCAGACAAAAAGTGCTAATAGTGCTAATTAAAACGAATTTACAACGTAAAACATCTATAATTTATAATTAATAAACCTCCGTCACTACTATGTAGGACCAGCCAGAATCATTCTAAATCTAATAAAATTTTCAATAGAGAATTTTCAATTTATATAATAATAATATAGGCCAAATATTGATTAATACATATATTTTCATATCACAATACAAGAACTTAATAATTTAAATTTTCGTTTATGATATAATTAATAATAATAATTAAAATGTTTTACTACACTACATACGAATATATGAGATATTCGAATAATTTATGAATAATTTTATTATTCTGAATTTTTAATAATGTGCTATTCCGATATTCACCAATATTCAATTTCCGATAAATGTAAATAATTTAAATATTTACTTTCCAATTAATAAACATTTCAAACACTTATTATTTACTCTCACTGTATTCTTTATATCTATCTCAAATCTTACTAGAAGGTTATACATGACTTGCACAAGTCCTCAAAATACCTTTTAAGGCTTTACAGGTCACTGACTACAGCAACCATGATATTATTGAAATTAACATAAATTGAATGAAATTGACTAGAATTTAACATTAATGTACTTAGGCACCTAAAAGAATCTATTTTTAAATATTCCCAATAATTGAATAAATACAGCATTTATAAATATTTACACACAGATGCAGATGAAATAATTTTGAAATTTAATATTGACATAAAAGAGTCCTTAATTGATTTAAAATCAAATATTACAATACTTATATGCTACTTATAATTTTAAAGTATAGTATGAGGAAATTCTTTGGCTTATGATAGTTTTAAGATTAAAAGATGTGAAATTATATGAAGTTGGTCCTCTAACGACACTGCATTGATAGTAAATATATTTTTAATGGAATGATATTTAGTAGGTAAGAGGTGAGTCTATAATAGATATTAACCAATTTTTAATCTGTTGCCGTCTCAAAGGCTGATGAAAAGAGTTTCTATTTATATTGAAATTGAATATGCTGAGATTGAACCAGAACATTGGAGATCAAATAGAACCATAGAGTAGGTAGTAATAGAGACAGGGAAGACATACAGGCACAAAATGATGTTTCCTTCGCATTACTGATATTTTTCTAAGTTGTCCATAATTTGTTCCCTAAGCTAGGTTTTTTTCTATTCTTTTTCAATACTTACTTTCCAATATATTCTCTGTTGGTACCTACGAGAAATTAGAATTCTTAACTAGAGATTTATTCATCATATACATTATTTAAATTAACACTCTTATCTTAAACAGTTTAAAATTTAACAGATAGTTACAATAAAATTTATTTTTAAAATTTCTTAGAACAATCGAAATAAGTATGATTGATCCCATATCAACAATTTGAAATATAGACAAACAATTAATAACTTTTTACAAAGATACAGATAAAATATACACAATGTCATGGAATAAATAAGAATATACTGAATTTAGTTAATAGAATAATAATTGGAAATATCTATACAATGCAATAAGTAATAAATAAAGAAGATACAATAAAAGTACTTATAAGACTAGATTGTCACTGAATTATAACATTATAATAATCAGTATGTAGGTAATTAATGTCCACAATAATTTATTTTAAATATTCCAGAATTTTCTTAGAACGATTATTAGGTATTTTCAGTTCAATTTATATTTTTCTGATATTCTACTAAGTAATCTATTCGACTAACAGCATTTTAAAAGTTTATTTAGAATATGTCTACATAATATTGTATACCCGTAAATTAATTAATGTAAAAAACTGAATTTAATTTACGTAAACTGACAATTTAAAAATTGCCGCCAACTCTTGTTTTTTTTTTTATTTGTCTATTAGTCGATGGTATTGCAGAAGCCTTTTCTCCCTAACTAAGGTTGAATGCTTCAGTTTTTGCTTGTATATGTTAATAGGTATATAGAAGTGTTACGTATAGGTACTCTGCTAAAATAAAGCTTTATTTTTGATGGGAAAGGCGGCAATGTAGGTAGTAACTGTCAGTTCATTCCATCATTCCGCACATAGTTAACTAACATAGCTTACTCTATACTTTATCAATTTCGCAAGGCCGAAAAATCACTTTATATTTTTAATTTCTCGTTTAATTTTAATCGTTCCAATTTTTCGTTATTAACAATAGATATAGCTACCGACTCGGTAAAAAATTGGCCTTTTCAACAATTCCTTCCTTGGTCTGAGACCGTAACACCCTTTATTCCAACGTAACATACCGTTAATAATTTTATAAATAAACTTTAAAGATAAATTCAAGAATTAAAGAATTTATAAATCTTATTTTTGAAGGGCACGCTCGGTTTTTCCTCTTCTTAATTTAAAATGTTTCATCAGCCATACACATAGACAATCCGGTTTTCCCGCCAAGCGTGCCATCAAATCAATCTTAATAATAGTACAATTTAAAATTTAAACATCAAAACCGCATACATGATTTATGTAATAATAAACAATTTAAAATAATTTTATAATTCTTAAATATAATTTAACTACCAATTCTAATTTTAAAATGTTGAATTTTATAGTTTTTTTTTTATGCTAGAGAGATCACTTAATTTATTCACTCACTTTTCAAGTCATTCGCTCCAAAAGTGGAGCTATGTCAGGGTACTTTCATGCAAAGAACTCGGTTTTTGTTGTCATGTCGAACTCGGATTCTTCCATCTTATACATCTCGATCAGCTAGAAAAATGCGAATGTTATTCATTAATATTTAGTTATAAATTATAAATAAACTAACAAGCGTAGGGGCATCAAGTGCCCACCACAGATAGGCCCCAAATGGCCATTGCTTAACTGGGGTTGCTGGGCAATAGCAATAGAGTACTGCGGCTTCGGTGAAGCAGGAGAAGGAACGAGGGGTTTTAGTCGGTAAGAGTCTGACTCTCCTTCTCGCCATACTCTGACCGAAAGAAGTCATTTAATGATTTGCCCTCCATAAAACAAAGTTTCAGACTAATTTTCAAAGCCTCGTAAGTCTGTGTCTGTGGCCAGTCTCGCGCTGAGGTTTGCATATGAAATTGAACCTTAACACCTAAGTAATACGTACGTTATCAATATCCTTGGAGAGTTCCTCCATCTGTTTGTCATGAGTCACCTTCAACTTTTCCTTCTCACGGTTCTGTTTGATGGTTTGAGTCTGAAACATTTAATTTTGATTATTAGGTTTTTTCCTAGAAATACTATGTTTTAGTAAAATTTAAATTTAGAAACTGTTTAGTTTTAATATTTTGTGGTAAGTATTCGAATTTGGAACTTTTTTAAAATCTTAGGTAATTATTTATGTAAGTAGGTGTCATCACTATTAAGACTAAATCGGAAAATGTGTGGGTAAGCGCATAACTCAACAACGCATGGACCAATATTGATTTGTTGTACTTGTTACTATTAGAAATAGGTTCTTATGAAAGAAAATTTTAGAAAAGTCGAGCGGCAATTGTTGACTTTTCATCTGTAGTGAGTTAGTTGGACATCCCTGTAAAGCACGGGCAGGCCTTTAGTAGGTTTAATACCTAATTATAATGCACAGATATCATTCAAAAATAAAACGGAAGTAAATTTGATCACAATAAAAGCTTTAAGAGACCATAAAAGTTAAGTCAGTGTAGGTTAAACTTGCTGCCCAATAAATTCACAGAGTTTCTTGTACGAAATAGTCCTTCCTAATAAGTCAGGTTATTAAAGAGTTCCTAGTTCTTACCTTCCTCTCATCCAAGAACTTCTTGGTGTTGTTCTGTTTCTTCTCCCTGAGCCTTCGATCCTTCTCCTGTTTGGTCTTCAAGGTCTTGTCATTGGCGACCTCCTTACTGGTCTCCATGCTAATCTTGGCTTGACGGGCATTCATTTCTTTCAGCTCCCTTTAATTTTTAAAGAAAGAAAGAAATCGCTCTATTACTTTCTGTGCAGATAGAAAAACAAAGTGCTTTCCTTAGACATTTATGGTCTGAGTATTATTATTGAAAAAAATATACTTATACTCTAAATATTTCTTTATACTAATCATTTTAGGATACAAGATACTCTACTATACTTTTGAATTAATCCTAACATACCTAATGAAATTGAAAAGCAACATAATATTTTTATTAACCAAGATTTTAACTCTGATTTTTTAATAATAAATTGCTATCCAATTTAGTATTAAGGTATATTTTCTTTTGATTCCATTATTGTATAACTAACTAACTAGCTAATGCTATACAATATAATACCGACTACAAAAAACTACACGCAGTCATTCTAAGGCAGAAAATATGTAAGTAAGTAGTAGGTTTACAATTTGTACCTATTTCTGAATGTGCGAGTGAGAATATACTATGCTTCCGACCAATCACCAAGTAGCCATCATTCATTCACTATGTTTATTCATAGTTCATTCGCGATCATAAAACGCGTTGATGTTTGCAATCTATCATAGATTCAATGTTTAGAATACAGTATTAATATAAACCAGTGCGAAATAAAGTTATTTACGTTTAAAGTTACCTAATGAAAAATTATTCTGTTGATTCATCAAATGTTTCGGTAATAGACATTTCCTATTTTTTATTACTTAGTTAGGTACTGTAGATATTTTACATACCTAAATTTATATTTATTCAATTAGCACCTAACTATAGTATCAATTTATAGAAAATAACGTCTTGATCACGTGAATTAAATGAGAAAAGATCAACTAGTCTCAAGTCAAATTAATTTAAATCTTTTTTGTTCAAAATTGATAAATTATTTCAATAACCGCGCATAATATTATAGTGCATGCTGTGATTTTCTATAAGTAATGGGGCACTTAGAATTAAATTTGAAATGTACAATTTATATAGTATAGTGTACTCATTGTTGAGAAGCCTAAAATAAATAAATAAATAAATGAGTCATAACGGGACTCTTATTCATGAGCAGGGTGTGCGTGACGTTGTCTTAACTACTTAGTAGTTTAGATTTTCTCAGTAAATCCACGTGAGTGAGTCGTTATTTTCAATAAATAAATAAAAATGGGATTTAATTGTGACACCACGACCTCATAGCTAACCGGTGTGAAACAACCACATCCGGTACACACAGTAATTCCGGTCATTTGCTGTCCTATAACAAAGAACAATCCTATTGGATTACCAAGATTTTTAGATGCCTTTAAATCTCTCACCTCTCATGTTTTCCCTCCAACTGTTTCATCTGTGCCAGTTGGGTGGCTTCCATCATCTTCTTCAGCAGGTCACGTTGTTCGTTCAGCCGGCTGCGGGCGCTGGTCCACTCCTCGACCCTGTGCTTGGCCACCAGCTCGCTCCAAGCTGTAGCTTGCTCGTTCACCAGCTTGCGGAATGCAGCGTCATTGCTTAACTGGTCCTTACTGGAATATGAGAATTGGGAGTTAAAGACTGTTGTTTAATACTGGCGACCCGCCCTGACTGCAATGTTGATAGGTACTAATTTTTTCCACAATTTAATGGTGTTCTTATACATATAATCATTCTTCTTCAATGAGTATGATGACTGAAATCATCAATGACAAGAATCTCATCAAAATCCGTTGCGTAGTTTTAAAGATTTAAGCATACATTGTGAAATGGGGACAGAGAAAGCGACTTTGGTTATAGTAATTAAGAATGGTATTCGATTGTGCATACTCGACTCTTCGACTGTATCTACTACATGAAAGCTAAAATGAAAAGAGAAAAAAAAATCCCGAAAGTATTTCAATGTCAAATTGTCAATGAATAATATTCTCAATGAAAGTGGTAAATATTTTTAAATATCTTATTCATTGTTTACGAATGCATTTATAAATACAAACTCACGGGAACGATAAACACAAATGTTATTCCCAAGGATATTCGCAGAATTCAGTAATAGGTAGGTATAGGTAGATAATATTAACACGAGCAGATCTGTAATTTCGAAAAGTAATACTAAAAATGCTCAGGAGATCCTCGGAATATTGCAGCAAGCAAGCCTAGACTGAATATTTAAAGCGTGGAAGGGCCATGCCTCGGCATGAATAGGTCATACCACGGCCTTACAGGATACTGGCGTGAAATAACACGTCTTTTGGGACTGTATTTGTATGTTTACAATTCCTGTGCAAATATATATAACCAACATTTTATTTTAAAAAACGTTGCCCCACACGCAGTTACAAACATACAATTTCACATACACAAGCCACGTAGTTCGGGAATCGAAACCGCGATACATTGCACGGCAGCTAGTTGCCGTGGTTTATACATTAAGACCTATAACTATTTAGAATTCTGTGGAGATAAAAAAATAAGAAATATCAACTTACTTCTTTCCTTTAATCATCTTCTCAAGTGCAGAGCACTGTGTCTTCTGCAATGCCATCTTCTCCTTAGCATGGCGCTTCCTCATGGCTTCCAGCTCTTTCTGTTGCTTTCTGCCAGTCTTCAGGAAACCCTTCTCTTGACGAAGAGACTCCACGGTGATCGGCTCAAAGACTAGAGGAGGTTCTAGAAAAAATATCGGATTAATTTATTTTATGTTACCTTCGTTCATATACATAGATTTTATAGGGTAAAGGGATAGGTAAAACGTCGCGGCGCGCACCTTGTCGCCTGATGGTACATAAGCAGTAAAATCTTTTTCATATTTTATTAGATGTGATAGAAAAATGCAACTGAAATAACTTAAAACAACTCTTGGAAAACCTGTCAACGATTAAATACAAGATACACAATCACCATTTTCTCATAAAAAGGCTAGACATTCAAGAAAAATCAAGAGACACAATCACAGATAAAACAAAAGCGTATTACTTCCCGCTTAAATCACATAGACAACACACTTTTCATTCCCATATCCTTTGTCCTAAACACACTCTGTTTTCCCACTATCGCGAAACACTCAAATAAATGAAGTATTTATTAAATAAATAAATAAAATCAATGATAATACCTAAACAAAACGACACTGTGCTCATTTTACCGTCGGCTCGCAACCAATTTGAGCAAAACTCGGGAGGTATTGAGAGTATGCAGTGAAGATCTGATACAAAACATGTGTATCGTGAAATATTTAAGGTAATACGTTTGGCGCGTAGTCCAAGTTATGAGCTGAGCGATTTGTGGAGATTTTTTTAGTAGGATTTGGAAGGGCTAGGTTCTTTAATTAGGTATCTTTATTAATTAAGAGTATTTAGGTCGCCACATGCTAGAACCATCTTATTCTAACTTATCGGTATGTCTAATAAAAGATTACTTGTATGTTTTTTATGAGAAATCTTCCTGAGTACTTATCTACTATAATCTGACTGAAATGAAAATACCTTTTTTCATTTCAGTCAGATTATAGTAGGTACTCAACAAAGATATCTTTTGTTCATCCAATCAGTGTTTTCAAATGATAGAGGTCATGTTTAACACTGAACTTTGATCTATTATTGACCAAATTCCATGTCCGCTTAAAGCGCTAAAACTCGCTACCTCGTTCACCTTAAGCCACGCTCCAAAACGGAATGATTCTTAAAATATCTACTGCATGTCATACACTGCGTTAGTTTAGTTAAGCTTCTGCGTGAATTCAGCACACAAATTATGATTCCCTATCTATTTGCAGCTTCGCAGATCTGCAAGCTGGCCTGTTAAAACAGATTTCAGTGGTAAAAATTCTTCAGTTTATGTTCATTCACGTGGTTCTACTTTGAAATGCGAGGCGAAACAGACATAATAAAACCACTATAAGTAGACCTCGCGTTTGGCATTGTTTTGTATGGTTTAAGGGTCAGTTTATGATGGACGCGTATTTTGATGTGCTGGTTCTGGAGCCGAGTTTATAATCGTATCTGGTGTTATTGTAATTGAAATGTTTGTGGATTGAGATGTTCGTGTTGATCGGAATGTTGTACCGTTGGCAGGAGTTATGCAAAATACTGTAATTAGGTCGAAAGATTAAGTGCCTTTGTGCCTTTGTTATGGGCGAAAACCCGTAACTTATAGCAAAATACGATTTTGCAGGTATTCTGTGGTGATAGGTATGTAATATTTGTAATTATTATAATCTTTCTCGTCGCTTTTATATTTAAGTTAGGTCGTTAGCAGATCGCATGTTATTTCTTCAATATGACATGATTTGGTCTGCATAACTACCAAGTCAAACTTCTATAAAAATTTTAGGAAGATTTTTATTACATACACTAATCAACCAAGAACCCTCGTAAAAGAATTTTTAGATATACATATATGTATATCGAAAAATTCATAAAAATGACGAAAAGCCAGGCTTTTGGCTAAAAAGCCTGGCTTTTCGTCATTTTTTAATCTTATTTCAAAAAACTGTTATTCACAACTCTTTAAATAACAACAACTTATGTATTAAATGTTTGGCACGAATGGATTGTCCCGAACGGAGTCATACTACGGCCTCACATAAACCTGCGTGAAACAACCCAAGAGGTTTTTTTTAGCTTTGTGAGTGACTAGAGAATTGGGATTGGACCCTATCCAATCGATAGATGTACGTATTAAGTTGTTTTTTAATGGATAATGATATTCAATGTATAAATTAGAGTGCCTCTTAAATACGCCAACAATTTGTGTGATGTTTTATCGTAATAGAATGTTCTTTGAAGAAATAAATTAATTAAAAAAACCCTAAATCTGCGAAACCCCCACTCCTAAAAAGCCGATAAGGCACTCGTAACTCTTCTAATGTTGCGGTTGGTGGTACTCTGTCTGCTCGTTTGCATTCTCCAGGTACAAAAAATCCAACGACATTGTAAAATAAACCATAAATCAAAGTGTGAAGCTACAGAATTGCACGTGTCTCACCTTCTTTCTTCTCCTCAATCTGCACTTTCTTCTCCGGGCCAGTTTCTTCGATGCCCAACTGCTTGACTTTGTCGTTTCTCTCTTTGGCAGCGCCCATGAAGGCGCGGGGATCCGACAGAGCCGCCATGAAATCTACGTACGTAAACAACAATTTAATGGTCAATTGATTGCTTAAAAATACGTTTATCAATTGAATTTGATTGAAGCTAATAAAGAAATTGGCAGAAAAAATATAATACCGCTAAAATCTCATTTGAAAAATTTGTCTATCAGATTGAGGAATTGAGGGATTTTATAGTCTTGGTTATGGTTTAATCCAATACATTTTTCGAAATTAAAATAATACTCGACGCGCACGCTGACCAGGAATAAGAGCTCCGTTGAAACTTGAAACTAGTAGAGCTTATATCGGTTAAATAAATAAATATAGAAATAGAATTCACCTTCAAATCCATCAGGCACGTAGATCTTCAGCTCGATGTTACAGAACAGCATGGGCAGTGACATGGGAAAGTTGGCTTCAGTCCTGTTATGAACAAAGTCAAAGGAGGTTATTTAAATTGATAGACTAAAAACAAGACGTGCGGCCTTATTGCAAAACAAGGTTTTACTTAGTCTAGGACTAAACCATTGAGCCAGTTTTTGTATTTCGAATTGAAGGTAGATGACAATAAGATTCAAAATTCAAAACCTGACTCAATGGTTTAAACCTGGACTAAAGATAAACCTTGTTTTGTAATAAGGGGGGTGAGGTTAAAGAGGCAAACTATATTTTTTAGTCGGACATCTACACACACTTTTTAAACCGTTTTTGCTAAAATTGTAAAATTCTGAAGTCCAGCGCGTCTCAGAGATATGAAAAACCGTATTGGGTCTCGTGACGACCTATATCCTATAATATCAGAATTAATTAATAGAGGAGAGGTGACAGGGTTTGGGTTACTTAGAAACTATTAGTAATCTGTGGTTCGGGTGTGTGAAGTATGAAAAGGTGGTTTAAATGACCAAGACTCTGATACTCCAGAAGTAATTGGAAGAGTTGGTTAGCTCACTAATATGTACTATAAATGCGAAATTTACGACGTTATGTTAGATGTTTGTTACTCAATTACGCCAAAACGGCTGGACGCATCTGGATGAACATTGGCACAAGTAAGGATACACTCCGGAATAGGACTAAGGCTACACTTATTATCAACATATCATTCAGGCGAAGCCGCGGGCGGAAGCTAGTCTTGAAACAAAATAGTGGAAGGGAAAAGAATACGTTCCACGCCCCAAAAGAATTACAATGTGAAGTAATGTGACACAAAATGAGGTACCTGAGTGAGATGTGTCGGTACCCAGCCTGGAGTCCGTCGAGCGGGAGGATGCGCTGACCCAGCAGCTTGCTGTTCTCATCGTACACTCCGAACCGGAGCACTGCTAGGTCGGGCAGTACCACCTACAAACATAAATATAGTCTGTGTACCTGTGACTCCTGTGAGTAACACGGTAAAGGTAAATTGGCGATAGATGTCGCTACTAACTTTTGTTTTTTCAACAATTTGAGCGAAATGCCTATAGTCAGACTTTTAATTCGATTCCTGATTTGACATTGACCACTGTCATTTTGTGAAATAATGATACCACATATAACAGTGTAGTGATGAACACAAAAATCGATAAACAATCAGTGAATCAGTCTCAGGAAGGCATTCAAAAAATTACGGCTACCGAATGGTCTAAATGTGTATCCCATGTTTTCAAAGAGGAGGAAAAAATTAGTAAGCTAGATATGTTAATTGACAATAAATATCAAAGACACAATTCATAATAAATGTTACATAGAGTAACGGCGATAGCGATAGCGATGACGGCGACAATTTATAAAATGTCTGTTTTATTTCTCACGTTCCTTCATGATCGCATTTTTTATTAATTTCACACAAAGTTACAAAAGAAAAGTCTCAGATCGTTAATTAACTGCCAAAACTAAATTATCAGTTCAGAAATATTTTATTTCCTGATAAACTTAGTTTACGAGGGTAAATTTATAAACGAGAGGAATCGATTCAGAAATATTCGATATCCATATCGAATAATTTAGCAACGTCTCTATTTAGTACGTGTCATAACGTTGCAACACTGAAATTGTCAAATCTGGAATGGAATTAAAATTCCGAGTATAGTTACTTTGAATTAGGTTTTGTTTTGTAACATATAATATGACCTCGATTTCTACCCTATAAATATTATCGATATCGATACTAAACCTAGTATACAGCTACCACAGAACTATTTGGTCTTTTAGGTTGGTACTATTGATTTTGACGGCTGACATCTTTTATTTATTGCAATGTAGGTATTAGAGTGCCGTGTAAATTGATTCCACTGGCTTGTATGGGAGTCCCGTCTCTTAAACGTAGTGGTTACATACTCTTTGTTTTGTAATTCCAAATAGCTTGGATGACTGGTTTGAAGAACTTTGCAATGCTGCATTACTTTTCTGAACGAAAGAGTATTTTGGTAGTTACGTGAATCAATCTCTAATTAGGGTTTCTTTTATATGTTGATACAATTTGATTTGTATTTTAGTTCTGTTTCATTAAATTAATTAATTAATTTTATTTATTTATTTAAGTCAGGCATCTGAGGCCCATAGAGAATACATAATATATTATAACATTAAATCATAAACTAATACATATGTTACATAGATAACTTAAAAACTAATGCACACGAAGTGTCGGCTTTAAATTAATACCCTAATTTGGTAAGTATCTCTTTTTCTTTTTTATACAATTCAGTGTAATGTTTCAGTATGTGCAGTTTACTTACTTAGTTTACTATACTTTTACTATTACTTAGTTTACTACATACATACAAACAAGATCTCTGTCAGAATCATAATTATCAAATAAAAATATTTTATGCATATTCAAGAACTTCTAATTATAAGTTTGAAACCGCCAATCCGCCTTGAGCAAACGTGGTGATTAATGCGTGCCGATGGTGACTGTGATTAATCCAACCTTCTCCGTGTGAGAAAAGGCCTTTGCTTAGCAGTGGGCACTTATAGGCTGATGATGATGATCCATAGGAAAGCGTCAATTCTTAAAGCCTACTTTCGAATATCCCTTACTAAAAGGGTAATTTTCGTTCCATGTCGTTCCATTTCGTTCTATTATTGATTTAATATAAACGTAGATATATCACATTGCATAAAGATCTTCGTTCAATTATACCTATTGTACCTATAGTAAGTGTTAATTTTACCTTTCGGAACAGGAAAGGCTCCTCATTGTAGACCGGGTTCAGTCCATTAGCAGGCACCATGCGAGTCCTGAACTCCTTACGGATGGTGTCTGATGGTAGACCGTACATGTCCACCTCCACGTACGTACCGATCTTCTTGTCTGACAAGAACTGGCCGGCGATGACCTGGTGGACAATGGAAATGTTTAGTTATACTACGCTACCATTTATAAAGTGAACATTGTTTGTCAAGTTTTCGCAAAAAAAACTTTTGAATGGTTTTGTGTGATAGTTTAGGTACACATATATGGTACGAATGAATCGGCTCGACAAGAATCGATCGATCGATTTCTATGGCATCATAGCAAAAAAAAGCGTGACACAACCACAGCGTTATTTTTTCTGTGTTAGTGGAGGTTACCAAAACCGAAGGCCTAATCCTTCCCTTCCCCAATCCCAAAACATCCGAAACCGATACCCTAAAAAGTCTGTACCCAATCGTAACTCCTCTGATGTTGCGGTTGCTCATGGGGGCGCTGATTGCTTACCATCAGGTAATCTGTTTGCTAGATTGACCCGCTTCACTTGAACGGATATCTTTAAAAGGAAAATTATGAATGTTTCGCTTCTATGTAAAAAAAACATCCCGTTACCTGCACAGAGCACTGGGCAGCAATCACGCCATCTACAGGCGCATCAGCGAAGGGATCGAAGCTCCTGTCAGCTCGTCGCATGAAGTCTGGTTTCAAAAGGTAGCCGCAGTTTCCATTGTACTCGAACTTGCCCTGGTTCAGCTGCATCGGCAGGTCTGAGGTTTGGAAGTTCAGGGACACCATCTGACAGCCGGCGTTCCAGAACACCTGGGGAAGAGAGATTTGTTTTAAAAATAATTTATTTTAATGTATGTATCATAACTTTTATTCGTTTATTTAATTTCGTGCGAACTGATGTGTGTGTTACCCCAACAGTCAGAGGCCATCTGAAAATAAGTGCTGTGCAATTAGAACAGGATATACCTACTGAGACGAACCACATCACTGCTCAATCCCAAACAGTAAACCCTAAAAGTCCGGCAGCGTGAATTGACGTGACGCGAGCAGATTACTTACCATCAGGTAATCCGTCTGCTCGTTTGGCCGGCAAACGAATAGGGCCTATGAAAAAAAAATATGTACCTGAGGCATGTAATTTGAGGAGTCAGCCCTGGTGCCTTTAGGATAGATCCTGGACATCTGCCGCTTGTTGTAGTTGACGAAGTCAATGGCCTGTGTCTTCAGATAGTTCATGCCGGTGGTCTCCGCAAACGAGGACATGTTGTGGTAAATGTTCTTTTCTGGAAAATGAGAATTTAGAACATTTAAGTCAGTCGTACCACATTGTCGGCCGATGTTTTAACTGCTGCTAACCAAATAATAAGTAGGTATTTACTTAAACAACATTTCAGAATAATTAAACAAAATTTTTTTTGGCTTATACAGTTACCAAGATTGCAGGTTAACCAAAATTATAAACAATTTATACCTAGATTTAGTTCAATTCATCAAACCCAAAGCGAACCTATTGTTCTTACACACACAGATCGACACAAGCTTAAGTGAATATATAAGTACAGCATTTCCCCGCCCGAGGTACCTACATGAACAAAAAAAAAAAAATAGAGAGTATTTCTAAAGTCCATTTCGCATTTTTTCTATAAGTACCTAAACTAGATAAATAATTTTTAACAAAAATATTCCGACTTCAAAAAGTAAACTAAAAAGCAAAAAATAAATTTTCTTTGTAGCAATTAATACATGTTTTCATTTAGATAAATAGAAAATAATATTAATAACCATTTAATAATCTTGAATTCGGTGCCAAGTAAAACTTAAATAGTGTAAAGATTACCTCTAACACACAACAAGAATATCTATTATCAGTTTGATGAATAGAAGTTATCAAGAATTTTGGAAATCGGTTCATAAATGGCGGAGTAATCGGTGAACATACAATAAAAAAACAATCAGCCGAACATAGTACCTCCTCCTTTTTTGAAATCGGTAAAAAGTACACTCAGCAGTTTCATATCCATTGCAGTTATTACAGATGACATTTAAAGGATTTATCTCTACTTACTTTCAGCCTCCTCGAAGCCCTGGAATTTGATGGGCTGCGCGTAGTTCACCATGGAGGACAGCCAGGGGTGCACGTTGGTGGTGGAGCCCGTGTACGCTACTGGAGGGGGGGCGTCATCACCAGCCGATGCTGCTTCTGCCACTATCTCCTCGGGCTAATGATGTAAGGGTTATTACTCAGTATAATGATCTGATAGGGTTATCCCATAATAATAAGTATAAAAACTAAAACCCAACTACGACAAAAAGTTTCGCGTACTAAATTGCTAAAATTAAATTAAAATTACTATTTTTAATTTAATTTTTGTCTCTCTTATTGGTTGGGTTAGTCGCCAACTCTTCATTACAACTGCATAGCAGTTTAAAATTAATTTGATTTGGTAAAAAAATTAAGATCTTTGTACGTATATTACCTATCTTAACATGCAAAGAAAGAATCTGAATTTGAATTGAAAAATTTATTGTTGCTATGTGCAGGTATATAACTGAAAGTTTATTATTGTTTATATTACTAAGAGTAAGAAAATAAACGCCATAGGTAAGTGTACACGTGTAAGGCTTGACTAGTAAAACAAAAGGCTTGACTAGTAAAACAATGTGTTCTAACCTTCTTATCAGGTATAGCAACGGCAGAAGCGTCTTCTTTCTCCTCGTCTTCAATGACGAACTGTCCCTGTCGGAACAATTCAAGCTCCTGTTTCTCCACTTCAGGCTTGAGCCGCTTGTTCTTGATAAGGATCTTCCGCTTGAGAGCTGAGGGAGGTGGCAGTGGTACTCCTGGTTCCAGCTGGAAGGAATTTGTTTGGTGTAAGTTATTCGTGCTTAGGAACTCAGGGTCAAAAATCTGTTTGGATTCTCAAATATACAAATCAAATCAAAAACTAAACTAAACCATAAATAGATACTTTTGAAACGTCAAAATAGAATAGTAGTCAGTCAGTCTGTTCGTCAGTGAAGCTAGGTGGTGGTGAAAACACTTCTTCCATCTACTAAACAACAAAATCCCCATAAAATCCAAGACCTTCTCCCCTTTCGAATACTTACAGGGTGTTCTGGCAGGGCTTCCTTCAACAGCAGATCCCCAAGGATCTCATCACAATACTTCGCCAGCTTGTACTGTTGGGCCTTGCAGCAATGGTTCTCGAAGGAGAGGATCACAGGATAGTCCGAAGTCACAAAGGCAGTGTCTCTTAGCGCATAGATCACGTCTTTGAATAGAATGTCTGTGCACATGGCCATTCCGTGGGTGATGATGGGTTCCTCGTCTTCGCCTTTGCCATCCCAGCAGTCGAGTTCTACGCACCTGGAAGTTGAGAGAAACATCAAGATAAAAGACCAAAAATATCGTGAAGTTTATGAAAACCCTTCTTATGAAAAGGAAGCCCACACTACAGTTGTGGGCTGTCAAGGGCTGTTTATGATGATATATATCCTGTCCATAAAAATATTTGAGCATATGGTTGCCTATGTCGCGTTTCGATTGCTCCTCAAAGAACTATTAGACCGCTACAGATAAGGCCAATGACCAGCTGAGGCTGCGAGTTCTCTCAATAATGTACCGCGACCCAGCTCGGAGCAGGAAAAGGGACGACGTGGTTTTTAGTCAAAAGAGTATCACACGCACGCACGCGATGTCATTTGATAACTTTTAATAAAAAGCCTTAGGTGACAGCCCAGTTTTATCGTCGTGCTAGTTGGAACTGCAGAACACAATTCAATTTACCTATTATTATAAAATTACAATTGATTCGAATTTTGAAACTATTAGAACACAGTTTGGAATCCAATTATTATGGATTTAAAAATGGAACAGGTAAACGCAGAAAATGAGTCCAGGTTTTGTTAATACATCACTACATAGTATAAAACAAAGTCGCTTTCTCTGTCACTGTATCCCTATGAACGCTGAAATCAAAAAAACTACACAGACGGATTATGATGCGCTTTTTTTAATTAGTACGAGTGATTCAAGAGGAAAGTTTAAATGTATAACAGCTATTAAATAGTGGAGGAATTTAGTATCAGCATTGCACTCGTGCGAAACCGAGGCGGGTCGCTAGTACAAAAATAAATCCTTTTTTTTTAAATAAATTTTGCCCCTCACTTGGATTTTGTCCTATGTCGTGGGTGCGTTTACAAACATACAATTTCACATGCAGATCACACCCAGACCCGGAACAACAATCTGTGGATCACACAAAGAGTTGTTCCGTGCGGGAATCGAACCCGCGACACGTTGCGCGGCAGCCAGTTGCCCAGCCACCGCGCCAACCGTGCAGTCAAAGTTAATCAAACCAACACATTTGAATCACTTATGTATATGTATATCACCCTCCTGACTCCTTTATGGAGTTGAACGTCCTAAATAACATTCTTGTAACAAAAGCAATTACGCATAGAACATCAGAGATTAGTAACAAGAGAACAGTAGCTAACTTCAGTAATTAATTCGACGAAATTAATATGTTTGTCGACAGCGAGTTCTCCTTCAACCGTAGCTTAGTTGCAAACTTTTAACTAGCGTAACTAAGACAGAGGCTGGTTTGATTCTAATTAACGGAAGTAAAGTAAAATTGTTTTCTATATTTTATTATTTACATTTTGTTAACATATCCTGCAGACTGTCTCTCAGGAATATCCGTCATCAACGTTGGACTCTCGATGATGCTTTTGCCGAAATAAAGATCGAAGTTTTAAAGGGAACTTCAATAGTTGACATTAATGTTTAAAAGAGAGAATCATATCGATAGACATACCTATGAAATTTACTGTAAAAAACGTTTTACTCACGTATCGAATACTGAGTCAACACTGAGTGGACGCAATGCGCACGCTGTTCATAAATAAAGGTCCCGTTGTGACTTGAAACTGGTAGAGCTGTCTCAGATCATTCACGCGAGTGACTCGTTATTTTCAATAAACTCAGTAACGTCATTTGTTACGTAAAAAATCTTACAAGTGATGACAATGATGTCAATCATTTTATTATTATGGGAGGTAGCAGTGTAAAGCATAAGGTACTTAGGACATCTTAGGTCAGATGGGGCCCTATATGGGTGTTGTATTATCTGTAATTAGTAATACTAATCATAGTCACACCAGAACTGTCAATGTCATCGTCATCCTTTTACTATAAATAAGGTGGCCGAGAGAGTGTCGGCCATTGACAATGTAAATCTGGTGCAGTGAGCTGCCCGACTGTGTACTGTGCTATTAAAGTCAAGTATCCAAGATCCAAGTCTTTTAATCATATCACAATGGGGTTGCAGGGCAAGCGCAATAAGGCACCGCGGCCTCGGTCTAGAGCAGGAGAGGGAACGGGGGTTTTTGTCAGTAAGAGTCTGACACTCTCGCCTCACCCTGGGCGGGAGAAGTCATTTGATGATTTTCTCCCCACAAAAAAGGACATTTAGCTACTTAATCTATGGAGGTAATTTAAGACCCAAGTTCATATTTACCTGCATCCAGCCAACAGGACCTGTCGGTACATTTCCACGGAACTCTTGCCACCAAACTGTCTGCCAGACAAGTATGTATTATGTGAGGAATTGATGTAGTAGTGGGCTAGGGGCTGGTCCATATCCATGTAGTTGTCCAGCCTGTCCAGGAACACTGGGGCGTTCTCATCAGACATCAGGTAGCGGATCAAACCGTCTTTAGTGAGGCATTCTGAAAAATAAGGTGGTTGTTTTGTAGTGGACTAGGTAAGAAGTTTTTTAAGTGTGGGAGAGCCAAGCTTCGGCACGAATGGGTCGGCTCGACCACAGCCTCACAGAATACCGCCGTGAAACAACCCACAGTGTTGTGTTTCGCCGTGTGAGTGAGGTTAAAGGAGGCCCAATCCCTTTCCTTCTCCTATCCTTTCCCGATCCTTATATTCGCAACCCCTATCCCCAAAAGGCCGGCAACGCACTCGTAACTCCTTTGGTGTTGCGGGTGTCCATGGGCGGCGCCGATTGCTTACCATCAGGTAATTCGACGATGTTTGCCGACTTATAAAAATATAACCATAAAAAAAGAAGTAACTATGTTTGGCGCCGGGTTAAGATTGGAAAGGTCAATGTGAAATAATCTGGATTCGACAATGAGGACCTAAATCACTGGATAAACTTTTCCTATCAATATATGGGTTATATTGACTATTGCCATCTATATATGTTAAAGTTTATAAGTTACTTTAAACGTATAATGATGTAAAATGTCGGCAGTTTTCCTGTGAGTGTACTGAGGACAAGCGATTAATGAAGATTCTAAATACATATATTGTTTAGCTTCAGACTTTATTTTGCCGTGGGATTAGAGGCACTTTATGGGGAAAGGGTGTAGAAGAGTTTTTTACTTAAATTACTGTAAACCCTTTTGTAGCAAAGTGGTCAAAAACCACCAAGATATTGTAGCAAACATCAGTATTTTGGCAGCCATGCAAGAATGCCCAGACAAATTGTTTACTGATAGCTTTTTAAGTTTTCACTGAAAAGGTTTGGGTGCCAACATAGACCACACCTAATCTGTTTTTTATTGTAGATCGCACTGCCAATATCTATGCAGATGTAAAATGCAGCGGAGAGTGCAGACTACATTTTAGTTGTAAGATAGGAGATGTCTGCAAGATATCTGCATTAAACCTAAGTTGGTATTTTTGTTAGGAAAAATTTAGCAATTTTGGAAATGGGTAGTTTCTTAGGTCAAAAATAAATTTATTCGACGTTTCAATACAAACAAAATATTGAAAAATAACTATACTTTCATTCTTAGATCGATCGATACACCAAATTTTAGATATTTTGTAGCTAATTATTAAGAAATAAGTAAGCTATTTGACGTCAAAATACTATGACGTCATAAGTCAGTATTTCATATAAATTTCATAGAAAAGTATCGCTTTTGACATTTGGATAAAAGTATTGAATTTGACTAGTTGGAAACTACCGTATTCTCAGATATATTTTAGATTCTGGAACCGTTCTCGAAGCACGGTGATAGGCTAACTTTTTGCATAGACCCTACAGCTTTAACTTCTCGTCTGCTGGTCCCTTTATGAGACACAATAGATAAAATATTGTGCCTTGGATCTCTATTCCGACATAACACGCGTTAATTACATCACTGCTTTAGTATTTTTAGTAATCATTTCAACTCTTATCACGAAAAAATCAGTATAAACTTACTATCATTCTTCGCCTCATCACACTGTTCATAGGTATTGATGATCTCAGCGGCTCGCTTCTCATCATATAGAGGGTACAGGATCTCGTTCAGACGAGGGTCTCGCTGCTTCTCGTTCAAGAAGTTCACAAACTGGTCCAAGTTGATGCGGTCTGATTTGCCTTGAGTGCTATGGGACAGAGAAAAATAAGAATTTAAAACGAGAATAGGTACTTACAACAGGTTATTAACGAAGGTTTGTTTGTTGTTGACTGCGATCCCACCTGATGGTAAGCAGTGATGCAATCGTTGATGGTAAGGCGCACTAGTTTATTAATAATAATCTTACCTATTATAAAATACTGTAAGTAATAATAATATTTATGGGGGCAGTTGGAGGAGGCCTTTAACCGTAAGGGCCAAGACAAATTTAATTTAATAAAAAACATGTGGCTACATCTTCTTTTTTTAATTTCTTTTTATATTCTATCATGGATTATAGGCTTTTATGAATAAAATAAATAATTGTATTACCATACACGTAACGGAAGAAAAGCTTAATTGAATGACAGGTTATGCTATTTCGTAGCGTTTTTGATAGAATTCAGATAGAAGAAGTTATTTTCTTGAAAACGTATATAGGCAGCCATATCCTAAAAGGTTACGCTAGGATAGTAATAAAACCTTTTTTACAACAATAAGTGACTATTAAGAAATATCTGTCTTGCCATATCCCAAAAGCCTCTTTTTAAAGTGGTGCAATAATTAAATAACATATATAAAAAAACATCCATAAAATAGTTTCCCATCTGACCTCAACTCTAAACACCAATTATTACTCATTTAACTTAAAAACATTACGTTTTTACAAATACAATTGAGAACCAATACAATTTATTTCCTCAATCCATCTTAATTCAATCGAATTCTATCATCCATTACCTATAAACGGGTCTGGAATTCTATCCATAAATAAGTCGCTAACATAAACCAAGGTACGGGCTTTAAATCTTAACCTTCTCGACCTCTGTCTCAGAAGGATCGTTAAATTGTGCTCTGGGAATTCTATCAAGCGGATAGGTAGATAAATATACTACGTAATCACTTTTATGTGCTCTTTATTATACCCGTGTTGCTATCCTAGTAGTTGAGTAGAATAAGTGTTTTAAGCCGTGACAAGGACAACAATACAACGGTTTTTAAAATACGAAAATGTTGCATTGTAAACTTTATATTCTGAGACCAGTTCTAGACGACATTTGGAACGGAATTTGAATAGACATTCTCGACAAATAGGAAATAAAAAACGCAATACCTAAGTATATATTTATAAAAATTGGTATTCTTGTTTTCTTACGGAATTAAATATTTTCAACGATATATTGATTTTAAATATCGTTTAAAGTTCTTATATCGGGATTTAGAACTTAATATACATACTGTAAAATTAGTTCGTTTTGTCTAAGTAGGTATCGTTTTCAAATACAACAGAAAAACGTTTCAAATATTTTTGCATTGTCTAATAGACGGGCTATGTGTAATTTTTATTAATTATCTGTCAAATATTTTACAGGAAATTGTAAGTCAATTGATTGTATGGTATTTATGTATGACCAAGGTTTCAACGCATATTTTTTTTTTTGTTTTGGCAACATAACCGTGTGTGTGTATAACAACACTATTTAATTTTAATCTGTCAAATACAGATGACACTAAAATTACTTCAACTCGTACCAAAAAACTTTACTTTAATAAACCGTATCTTTATCATATCAAATTATCCGTAATCCTATTTGAAAAAGGATTACACTAACGGAATCTATCTTCGATACGAATTGGAGAGAGGTCTTAACATCTTATCTTCTTAACCATAGAGTATCCCGCTCTTTTTATTTCCTTATAAGAATCTACTCGTTGGAACGAGTAATATGATACCAAGATCTCACAGAACTACGTCGTGAAACAACCACAGCGTTCTGTTTCGCCGTGTGAGTGAGGTTACCGAAGGCCCAATTCTTCCCCTCCCCCATCCCCAATCCTTAAATATCCGAAAGCCTAATCCTCAAAAGGCCGGCAACGCATTCGTAACTCCTTTGGTATTACGGATGTCCACGGGCGGCGCCAATTGCTTACGATCGTCGAAATATACTATAAAAACGTGTCGTCAAACGATATTTCAAATTAATATAGTTTTATTCATGACATTTTCTACTGAGCTGTGACGTAACTTAGCGACCTCACTTTTTAACATCATTTCGTATTATTTTCGAATACGACAAAATATAAAAAGTAGTTAAATTTCTTTTTTATTATACAACAGATAAACTAATTCGATTCGGTATTTAATTTTTATACACCGCCATCTTGTTTATTGTTCTTAATTTAAAAATCTACATTGTACAAACAGGATCTCATGCTATATTATTACTATTACCGCATAATAACATAACCTTTCCTTGTAATGAACGATTTGACTATATCTAATATACTTACTTAACTCCGCCATTGCCGGTCCCAAGCCCGGATGCAAAAGGAGGAGGGTTGGAGTGGTAGATGACGAAACCAACCGTAAAAGGTCAACGCCGAGCAGTGGGCGGCGGTCAAGTAACCCACCTCCGTGTCCACCCAGCGATCACGAAGCGGCCTCCAGTGACCGTGAGGGATTAAATTCCCCTCTAAAAGACTGACATGGAAGGACACGGGACCCCACCATGTTTATATTCCCAAGAAAGCCACCTCATGATGAAAGGAAATAGATGTATTGTGTTGTCGGACGCCCCGGCTGACACCCGGCGCCACCCGGTATCCGGGCCGCGTGGTGTGAAATCTGCTACCGATGCTTCCCGGGAGATAGAGCACCAGGTCTCCCTAGGAAGAAATGCTACTGGTACTAAAATCTCATTACGTGCACATCATCGTATTGGAACCTGGAATGTAAACGGAATACTCCAGCCAGGAAAGCTGAGCATCGTTGACAAAGAAAGAGAAAATCACAACATCTCTATACTGGGCATTAGTGAAACCCACCTTCGTGGACAAGGCCATTTTACTACCACTACTGGAAATACTTTGTATTTCTCAGGAAGAGACGACTCTAGCAGGAATGGTGTTGCCATACTTTTGCCGTCCAAAATGAACAAGTTTGTCCTCGGATACAATCCCGTATCTGATCGAATCATCAGCATGAAGCTAAATACTAAACCATGCCTTCTTAATATCGTGCAAATTTACGCTCCTACAGCACAAGCTTCAGATGAGGATATCAATGAATTCTATGGGAACCTAGAGAAAACACTAGATAACATACCTAGCCGGCAGATCACAATCTTACTCGGCGACTGGAATGCAAAGGTTGGCAACACGGGGCTGGATCACACCATCGGAGACGCGATCGGCAAATATGGTCTAGGCATTGGAAATGAGCGTGGCCAAAAGCTCATCGAGTTTTGTATTGGTAGGAAGCTAAGTGTCATGAATACTTACTTTAAACATCACCATAGACGCCTCTACACCTGGAGATCTCCAGGCGATCGTTATAGAAATCAAATCGACTACATTATGATAAATACTCGCTGGAGATCTTCCATTACAAATGTGAAGACATTTCCAGGTGCCGAATGTGGTTCCGACCATATGCTGCTGGTCGCTTACCTATCACTGCGCCTAAAAGCGACGAAAACACACTCACGACCACCACCCACAACTTTGAACCCTATTGAGCGCCTACACTTCCAGAACGCGATCGAAGACAAACTCACTGAAAACCCAACACCTCCAACGTCTAACGCTGATACTCTCTGGATTGATCTGGAAAAGAGAATCCGTGAGTCTCTTTCTGAGATTGCATCGAAGCGAAAAAAGGACTGTAAGAAAACAGCTTGGATAACGGACCACACATGGGAACTCATCCAGAAAAGGAAGGATATGAAAGTGAGAGGGCTACAAAACCATGACGTAATGAAGGAATATTCTGACCTTTGCCGAGTCATAAAAAAAGAGTGCCGTCGGGACAAAAATACCTTCATTACTAATATATGTCGCGAAGTGGAAACCCATGCTATGAAACAACAGACATCAGATCTATTTAAGAAGGTTCGCCTATTAAGTAGACAATTCAAGCCCAAATCATGGGTCATCGAAGACATCGACGGGAGATCACTGCACGAGCTTGACGCAATAGCAGAGAGATGGCGCTGCTACTGTGAACATCTCTACAAGAAGCCCATCTCAATAGATCCTGAGATTACCCTACTAGACTGGCCTGTTCTGGACCTGGAACCCGACATTCTGCGGTCGGAGATTGTAGCAGCCATTGGAGCACTGAAAACTAAGAAAGCACCGGGTCCAGATCAAATAACAGCTGATGTGCTAAAAGCTCTAGGGGAAAAAGGTGTTGATACTTTGCACAATATCTGCAATCATGTATGGCGGAACGGTGAGTGGCCCAAGACTTGGACACAGTCGATTATCCTTCCTTTACACAAGAAGGGTTCGACGAAAAAATGCGAGAATTATCGCACACTCGCCCTAATTTCACACGCTAGCAAAGTCCTGCTATACATTTTAAACAAACGGGTTCGTTATTACCTAGACTGGCAGATCCCACAAGAACAGGCCGGTTTTGTGAAGGGAAAAGGCACCCGTGAACAGATACTCAACATCAGGCAGATTGTGGAGAAGTGTTATGAATTCGACACACCAGTCGTGATGTGCTTCGTCGACTATAGCAAGGCATTTGATTGTGTCAGCTGGAGCTGTCTCTGGAGAGTGTTATCGGAACTGGGTGTACCTCGCCATTTAACTGCACTTCTGCAGTCATTATACAGTAGCAGTCAAGGAATGGTGAGGATTGATGGGACAACATCCAAAACATTCAGTTTTGAAAAAGGAGTTCGGCAAGGCTGTATTCTCTCGCCCATTCTGTTCAATATATACGGCGAATACATAATGAGGCACACCTGTGATGACTGGGATGGTGGCATCGCCGTCGGCGGACAAAAAATTTGTAATCTGCGTTACGCAGATGATACCACTCTACTAGCGTCAGATGAAGCAGAAATGTTCGCCTTATTGAATAGAATGGAGCGCATCAGCGGAGAACTGGGACTCTCGATAAACAGATCCAAAACGAAGATCATGGTTGTAGATCGCTCAGGCAAGCTTGAGCTCACTGGGACACTTGATCTGGAAATAGTTGACAGCTTTATATACCTGGGCTCAGGCATTAGCAACAATGGCTCTTGCGAATCAGAGATACGAAGAAGAATTGGGATGGCAAAAGGAGCCATGGCACAGCTTCAAAAAGTATGGAAGGACAAGAACATCTCGTTAAAAACAAAGAGCAATCTTGTGCGCACAGTGGTGTTCTCCATATTTTTGTATGGCGCAGAGACGTGGACCCTGAAGAAGGCCGATCGTGACCGCATTGATGCCTTCGAGATGTGGTGTTGGCGAAAAATGCTAGGGATTCCTTGGACGGCACACCGCACCAATGTATCGATCCTCCAGGAGCTTAAGATCCAGACAAGGCTCTCTTCCATATGCCTCCGCAGGATTCTGGAGTTTTTTGGACACACTGCCAGAAGGGGTAACGATAACTTGGAAAAGTTACTAATCACTGGTAAGGTGGAAGGAAAGAGACCTAGAGGCAGAAGTCCGATACGCTGGACGGATCAGATTCGCACCACTCTCAACACTACAGTCCACGATGCTCTCCACTCGGCGGCAGATAGAAATAGATGGCGGAGAGTAATACGCAATACACTGCTTCCACGAGGTGGTCACGACCCTCAGCACTGAGGAAACCGACGCGAGGAGGAGGAATATACTTACATGGACCGAAACAGCTCTTCAATATCATTCCTAGGACAGATTTTGTGATACAAAGCGTAGAATTTGTCGAATGTGAACGCTTCTTTCTCCATCGCCTCATTCTTTCCTGATGGGAGACCAAGTTCTGATAGACATTGGTATACTAGCTTTTCAGTCTTGCCGGATGCGAAGGTCCTGGCGACCACCTTTACTGGGACCTTGCCTCGTGGGTCGGTTAGAAAGCAGAGGCGCATCCAACTGTGGAATAAGGAAGAAGTGATTAGTTCAGGGTTTTATTCGTGGCGTGATTTGGGTGAAAAATCTTCTAAGCACTGTACTCTGATTATTAAGTGACTTAATGGTAACTTATCCCAGTCTTTAGCAATTGTTCTCGGAACAAACCCGTTACTAAGGAATGGTTTAAGTGATCATTAAATGTGGCCAGTCCACAAATACGGCAGTTAGTTTCTGGTCGGCCTCATGTTAACATAGTTTTCATTTATTTTATGAATATTGTTTTTTTATTTATTAATCAGTTACAATAAATACTACACACAAAGCTTACAACAGATTAAATACCCACCTAGAAACAATAGAATATCTTAGTAATTTCAGCCGACACTACAAATATTGTTAGTTTACTTACGGGTTAGTAACAAACCCACGTGTTTAATCGTTGGCAAAAAGCTTTGCAAGGAGCGAAACTACGTACGTACTAAACAGTAGATCCTTTTCCGATTAAAATATGGATACAGAAAAAAATATTCTATCTATTGATTACTAGCTACTCTCGCGGTTTCACTCGCTACTCGGCTTTATTTGATTGTAACGTAAAGTTTTATAGCCTATAGCGCTCGAGAACATTGTAGCTTTCAATTGGTGAAAGAATTTTGGAAATCCGACCAGCAGTTCCAAAGATTATCACCCTACATACAAACTTACAAATTAAAACAACCGGTGGATGCGGGTACAAGGCGGTGATTTTTAGTCAGTAACCCCCTTATTACAAAACAAGGTTTATCTTTAGTCCAGGTTTAAACCACTGAGTCGGGTTTTGAATTTTGAATCTTATTGTCATCTACCTTCAATTCGAAATACGAAAACTGGCTCGATGGTTTAGTCCTAGACTAAAGTAAAACCTTGTTTTGTAATAAGGCCTTAAGAGTCTGAAACTCCCTCTTGACTTTTCCCCATGAAACAAAAACGCATCGAAGTGATGTGTTTTAACGTTTATTTACCTATGTTTTGCTTTGTTTTCTTTTATATTTGATCATTTACAATCTCCACCGACTCGGACTCCGTGCAAACAATGTCCAGTAAAGATTACTAAAATTACATATTTAAATAAAACGGATTTTACATACTACAACTAACCACATAACTATAGAAATTATATGTTACATTTAAATATCTACAATAATATAGTCTAATTTACATTAATTTTTATCGAACGCTCTGCTGACTCAGCCCACCATCACGCTGGGTGAGGCGGCCTGCTCCAGCAATCAGCCATCCGATTAACCACTTTTTAGCAGCCGAACAACTCAGCGCCGCTGACTATAGGTCATTTAGCTTTGATTTAAAACGCATTGTACCATAACACTGTCATTCTATGAAACGTCAACGTCAGATTCATTTGAAAATGTCAAATGTCTAATGAATAGAGCTGTATTCAACGCGTTGTATAACATTGTATCGGGGTATAGGGAACAATGTCTATCTGCCTTCCTTTTTGTTCGCCCGTTCAAAGCCGCATGCCAACTCGCTGTTAATTTATAATAGCGTCTATAGTTCAAAGAAAATGTCTAGAAATCTAGACTGCTTTACCCTCGTACTTAATGACGGTTGAATAGAAATGTTGAGCTTATTATATTAAAACGTTATTTATATATAACATTATATCGTTAGGTCATGAACTTATGTATAGCTTTTACATTAGCTTTATTGTGTAGTAGTGTTTGCGTAAAGAGTAGTAGGTGGGTACAGTTCCAAAATATTTCTTTTTAAATCTATCGGCTCCTGTAGCTAATAAATAACACCTACGACGAGCAGACTGATCGATTATTCTAGTTTGACGTTTCAAAAGTACCTGTATAATGGTTAAGTTGGAATAAATGATGTTTTTGACTACTGTTTTTTTTTCAATATTTTTTTGGAACTAAGTCCTCGTTGAGTAACAGTGTATCTAAGTAATCATTAAATGTATGAGTACAGTAATAGAGAATAGAATGCAAAATTACTAGGATTAGAAAAGTACCTCCACAATTAACAAAATAGACACAGATTCCTTTTTTTTGTCAGGGGAAAATCATCAAATGACTTCTCCCGCCCAGGGTTAGGCGAGAGGGAGTGTCAGACTCTTACTGACTAAAACCCCCCCGTTCCTTCTCCTGCTCAGGGCCGAGGCCGCGATGACTTATTGCGCTTAACCCGTAACCCCGGTTTAAGACACAGATTACTTAAACAATAAAAAAAAATGTCTTAAAAAATAAAAAAAGTTCTTTTAAGACTTTATATAGGTAAACGAATATCACTCGCAGTGTTTAACAATTTTCACAAGAACATTATGACATTTCTAAGATTATCTGTGAATTGATCTCTATATTATTACCTGAGCATATCAAAGTACCCATGAAAAAAAAAGCAGTTCTCACAAAAAAGAAAAAAAAAAGAAATTTTCAACGCACCGTTTCTCTTCGGGTACGGAACACGACCTGTCATATGCAGACCTCTTTCCACGGAACCTACATGAAAAGGGCGGTGTATATTATAACGATTAATGTACTTGAGAGGGAAGACAGAAACCCTACGTAATTAGTATTGACGGAGGAGTTTCATTATAATAACTCGTTCGTCGTAGTAATTTACGTAGCTGTGATGGCTAGTAGTACCTATCTGGATTACACTGTTCTCACATAATTGAACCAACTGTTTGTAAAAGGAAACTGTATGTGAAACTGATTTAAAAAGAGTAACCATGGAGTTTCTTGCTCGTTCTTCTTCATCGGAATCTACACTTTGGAACGAGCAAATAGCTTTACTAAGAGGACTGAACCGACAGACCGACAGATTTCAAAATTTTGTTTGACGTTCAAAAATGCTCGTAAGTGTGTAATTGGAATAAATGATTTTTGACTTTGACTTTGCCTTTGATTTTTTTTTGTGGTATGGGTAGGCAAACGAGCAGTCGGATTACCTGGTGGTATGCAATCAGCGCCGGCTATGGACACCCGCAACACCAAAAGAGTTACGAGTGCGTTGCCGGCGTTTTGGGGATAAGGGTTTCGGATACTTAAGAATTGGGAAGGGATGGGGGTAGTGCGAGGTATTGGGCCTCCAGTGACCTCACTCACACGGCGAAGCACAACGCTGTGGTTGTTTCACGCCGGTTTTTGTGAGGCCGTAGCATCCCTACGGTTGAGCCGACCCATTCGTACCGAAGCTTGGCTCTCCCACACTTAAATTATGACAGGAATTAATTCCATATAAAAATTATTAGTTTGAGTATCTCCCCCCTATGCTTAGTAATGACTATTAATTTACAACATGGCAAATAAAATGACTTGCATATTTTTGGCAAAAGTAAAAATCATCCATTAAATTGATTACCGCCTACTGCGTTGTCCAGTAGTTGTTTTTATTAAGTCTATTAAAAAATTAAACAATAACGCCATGGTAGCGCCCACTTTTCATGCATGAGGATGCGGGTTCGAAACCTGGCAAGTACTTTTCGAGTTATACGTACTCGTACTTCCTATGATTATTTCGACACCACTGAAATAAGGTAACATCGTGAGGAGACCTGGACTTATCTTACTAATATTATAAATGCAAAAGTTACGATGTTTTAATGTTTGTAACTCAATCACGCCAAAACAGCTGGACGCATCTGGATGAAATTTTGCAAAGGCATAGGATACACTCCGGAATAGGATAGGCTACTTCTTATTAACATACCACGCGGATAGAAGCTAGTCATTTCTAATTATGAGGTCCAAATCGCCAATCCGGCTTGAGCAAGCGTGGTGATCAATAATCAAACCTTCTCCCTGTGAGAAGAGGCCTTAGCTCATCAGTGGGCACTTAAAGGCTGATAATGTGACGATAAACCAATGCCGGAATAGTAAAAAATGATATTGCTCGAAAACTTTCGATAGGTTTACTCGACTATTTACAAGATACGCACGGGACCTATAAATCCTAGACAATGTAGCAAATTTCTCTAAAGTTACACATATTTAGTGCGGATGTAAAAATGGATGTAGGTATTATACGCAAGTTTATTAATCATAAATCAATGTAAGTATGTATATAATTGGTGTATATATCTTGGGAGGTTATTTTCTATAATTTATAGCGTCGGTAAATGTATTAAAGACAAATTACTAGTTGAGGCTAATTTGTTGAGTGGCCAATTTACTAGAGTGCGGTTTCCTTCGATCTGGGCGTGTGTCGTGCATATTTCATTATTGAAGCTTTGTTTACATCAAGCTTGGCTTGCTGAGGTAGCAGGAGGTACATTTTTAATTTAGGTTTTTCAATATTAATGTCGGTCGCAGTGGCTCGGTAACTGGCTGCCGCGCAATGTGTAGCAGGTTCGATTCCCGCACGGAACAACTCTTTGTGTGATCCACTAATTGGGTAGTTTCCTAGGTCAAAAACACAATAAAATATTGAAAAATAATTATACTTTTATTCATCAATCGATCGATACACTGAATTTTAGATAGTTTTAGCTAATGTTTAAGAAATAAGTAAAGTTTTAGACGCAAAAAAACTAAGACATCGTAACTCAGCTTTTCATACAAATTTAATAGAAAAGTATCATTTGACAGTTGGATCAAAGTATTGAATTTGACTAGTTGGAAATTACCGTATTGTTGTTACGGGTCTAGGTGTGATGTCTATGTGAAATTGTATGTTTGTAAACACACCTACGAGGCTACGACACAGGAGATGATCCTAGAGTAGGGCAAAAAAAAAAAATTAGAATTGTTCAGCAAAAGAACTTTAAGATTACCTGATGGTAAGCAATCGGCGCCGCCTATTAACACTCGTGATACCAAAGGACTTATTAGAAGTGCATAGCCGGCCTCTTGTGAGCTCTTAGAGATTTAAGGATAGGGGATTCGAGGCTTGAGGACGAGAGTGGGGGAAGGGAAGGCTTGTTTATTATTATTAACCCATGGTAAGCCGAATGGAGATCTAAACGAGACAATATATTTCCTATTGGTTCTCATACGAGTATATCGGAAGACGAGAGGTTAACCATCAACTGTAAAATAGAGGATATTGATGAAAGTCTGCTATGCAACTATAGGACTTTTCTATATGAGAATTGGGCATATTATTCTAGCTTGGCATAACAGTATAGAAATATAAGTTTAAAAGGTTCACCCTCCCTAGCCAAGTCTAGTAGGTATCGATGATCGTTACCATGGAAGTAGCTAATACATACAAAGTAAATTTAAAAAAACACCATTGATAGTTACTAAAAAAATATTACATTTCAAAAACAAAATGATTTTTGGTATCTGTCAACCCTAGTTCGTCCTTATTGTTGCTCAACGCATTTCATCTTCAATACATTTCACTCAACATAAGCACTGGCAACAGCACATCAATCTACCCCATAACTATCTAATAGATTTTCGACTTAAACACATTTGTGATAAAGTGGAGTCTTCATTGGCACTTATAATCCACCCTCTAGCGATGTCCGGTCATTGCCCTCCCACAGAATACAATGGACATAGCCCACGCATTTCTCCTTTATTATTTCACTTGTAACATAACTTTGTATAGCTTTTATTCTTTTAAAAGGGTGGGCAGAAAAGTGCTGAAAGTATTTTCACTTTAAGTGCCAAATAGTGACCTCTGTAGAGGAAGGGACAGCATATCATTTAAGTGTGGGAGAGGCATGCTTCGGCACGAATGGGTCGGCTCGACCGGAATGATACCACGGCCTCACAGAAGACCGGCGTGAAACAACCACAGCGTTGTGTTTCGCCGTGTCAGTGAGGTTACCGGAGGTCTAATACTTCCCATACCCCAAACCTAAAATCTCCTAATCCCTTATCTCTAAAAGGTCGGCGACGATCTCGTAAGTCCTCTGTTATTGCGGATGTCTATGGGCGGCGCTGATTGCTTACCATCAGGAAATCAGTAAGTTCTTGGGCCGTCGTATCACATAAAAAAATTAAAGACTTTTTTTCCTTACCGGGTCTAATAGTTTCGGCGATAGGAACATTGATTTCAAATCGTATGAACGACTTTTATACTTTGCGGTGACTTAGTCTAGTAGTCTCTTAGCCTCCGTTTTTTTAATTTTTAATTGTTTTATTCTAAATTTACTTGTTTTTTTCATTGTTACATTTATAATTTTCAAATTTAGTCGTTATTGCTATTGTTTGTAAACGCACTCACGAATGACACAAGAAAAAATCATAGCCTGGGCTAACGCTTTACAAAAAGCAAGAAATATTTAACTAGAAGCGGACATTAGAGAAAAGACGTCATTAAGTCGCGTCTCACTCAGTTGAGTTAAGTCCCTTACGCCACATTGAACTCAGAATGTCTTTTAAACGCCACGGCCAGAACTGGCACGAAATAAACGAAGTTTCTTTTTTCAAAAATCGAAGCGTTGACAGTTTTTTTCTTTTAAAGAAAATTAAGTGTTGAAGGTTTTTTTATGGTATAAGCCGGCCGACGGATTACCTGATGGTAAGCAATCGGCGCCGCCCATGGACACCTGCAACACCAAAGGAGTTACGAGTGCGTTGCCGGGCCTTTTGGGGATAGGGGTTGCGGATATAAGGATCGGGAAGGGATAGGGGAAGGGGCGGGATTGGGCCTCCGGTAACCTCACTCACACGGCGAAACACAACGTTGTGGTTGTTTCAAGCCGGTATTCTGTGAGGCTGTGGTATCACTCGGGTCGAGCCGACCCATTCGTGCCGAATCTTGGCTCTCCCACACTTATTACACACAACACTTCCCACATCCCAGACTTATTAAGGTAAGGAAAGAAGTGTGAATTGGGGTCAAAAATAAATTTACTCGACGCGACGTTTCAATACATTAAAATATTGAATAATAACTAAACTATTATTCATCGATCGATCGATACACTAAGTTTTAGATTTTTTTTGCTAATTATAAAAAAAATAAGTAAGCTATTTGTCAATTTTATGACGCCATAACTCAGTTTTCATACAAATTCCATAAAAAAATTATAGTTTTTGACGTTTGGATAAAAGTATTGTATTTGACTAGTTGGAAACTACCGTATTATTTTTGATAAATTAATTTTGTGAATGCCAATATTACACGAATACATGCTATTCCCCAAGGACCGTAGCCAGTAAATAAATAAATGATGATTATGATTTAAAATTGAACTTTAAATACACTATCTATCAAAGTAGTACGTGAAGCTACATCAAAGTACAGTGATGAAATAAGTTTCGTAACTGCAGATTGAGTTTATTACAGTTAGACTTCAGGATATTGCATGTCGTTCCGAGTTGAAAAATTAATATGTCGTGCCGGCGCGCCTCGACTTCCAAGCCAATTTAATATCAATTCAGAGTGTGTAGGTACGTACAAACTTTTAGTTAGACATACCAAGATTTTATATGTAGATATGTGTGAGTATGTGATTTTATAGCTAAGATTTCATTTTCATCGGCAGCCTGAAGTACGAGCATGAAAGGGGTACTCTATCTCGCCTAGGCAAGAAGACATTTGCCAATTGTATTTTTTTTTACTTTTATCTATACGTATATATGTATTTATGTATGTAGGGCGTAATCTTTGGAACAGCTGGTCGGATTGCCAAAATTCTTTCACTGATAGATAGCTACAATGTTTCTGAGTGCTAATAAAATCAGGCTACGATTAAATGGAGCCAAGCAGCGGATAAAACCGCGCGATAGTAGCTAGTAGAGTATAAGCTTGCTTGTTTGAGTGTGTACGAAATTGACGAGCAAATCAACTCTACCCTATTGACCACTACTAGCTTCAGATCCAATAAGTACCAAAAGTGTGCTTCCTCTAACGATTTTTATCTAATACTATGTTTGTTAAATTTTAATGAGCAGTAAAATAACGAATTTATTAGTTATTTAGTTCGAAACTTAAACTTATTGTAAAATTTTCTATTAATTATAAAATAATCAAAACATATTCTTAATTATATCGCCAAACATTACATTCTAAAATAAACTTAAAACATATCAAGTAATACTCATAACTTTGGAAAGCAAAATGTTGTAGTATACTATAGGTAGGTACCTACACCCACGCCTACACCCTTAGTAGATGAAGGAAAGCTTAACCTTACATCAAGAAAACACCAATTTACGCCATAGCTTAACAACAAAAAATGCGAAACAAAAACTGTATCGTCAACCACATGTAAAGTACTTACTTAAATATTGATATTCGAAGTAAAATTATCAGCTATAAAAATAAAGAAAGATGGCCGACGTTGACAGCTGTCATTTAAGTTGACAAGCGCAACTTTTAAACGAATCTTAATTAAAATTTTGATTTCATGGCTTTTAAGTAAGCCCTTACATTGTTTAGACATTTTTTTAATTATCTGAATCTTATAGTTACTTGAGTGTTGAAGGAAACTTTATGATGACAACCATTTTACTACAATAGCAATAAGGTCGATTTTGTTTCAACATGTGGTTGTCAATACAGGAAGCAAATAAAAATATCTACGTACTGTTTCATAAGGTTAGTCCGGGGGCAGGTGTTGTTAATTTTGTTGTTGTGGGTAACCTCCCGGAGAGCCTCTTTCCATGCCTTTGACAAAGAAAGCGAATGAACGGAGGTACATGCAAAAACATGCTATACGACTTGTGAAACTGCCAAGGAACTTACGTTCCAAATCAACTTAAACATTAAATTCAAATTCAAATGTCTTAGAAATAGCATTTAGGTATACAAGTTTTACTGTAACATCCCCGTGGAGCGTAATTTATCCTAAGAAAGGATTTAAGTACTTTATTTTTTATACTTTAAATGTCGATATTCTGTAACAACGTTTTATAAAGCAAGTCCTGAGAGAAATCAAAATGATTCTACTAAATTAAACTTTTAAAAACTTTCAGTTTGAATACAGAAATATGAAATATTTTTCAAAATTGTAATTTAACGTTTTTTAACTGGAGTCAAACTCTCAGAATTGGTTTTCATAGAAACAATCAAGAAACCATAAAAGGAAATGACTTGATTTCCACCGCCATTTTTAAGTTAAGATGTCGTCGATCAGTCACGTTTTAATTTGACAGCATTCTTCATAACTTTCTTCAAGAGACAATTCATTAACTTTAAGAATTTATTAGTTCAAACCACATCGTTGAACTAAAACTTTGTCAGTTCACAGTAATGAAGATTGAAAACAATTAGTTTTGTAGCCTAAACAAAATTAAGACGACAGAGTATAAGAAGAAAGTTTGGAAGTAAATTCAAAATTATTTATATAGGTTTCTATCTAAATATTCGCTTTTCTAAATTAATTTCCACCTTATTTGTATGTACTAAGTTACCTTGGAAAATTCACAAGTCATTAACATGACACAAAAATAATAATCACAAAAAATATTTGAAGCAAGTCGAAATTTAACTCTGCAACGATGCATGAGTCCTTACTAATTCATTGAATTTGCTGTAACAGTTGCAACAGCAACATGCTACGCAACTTCAGTGCGCGTTACGTAGCATGCTATTGTAGCAAAGATACTGCTATTTTGCTACGCGCTAGCTAGGATTTTGCTCTGTTTAAAGTAAATCCGCGCAATTTTGCCAGGTTCCACATTGAGCGTCAACGGACCGTATTCGAGCGCTTTAAATGCTACAGGGTGTAACTTGTAAGCTTTATGACAGCTCTTTGTCGCGTTTAACTAAAACGCAGCGCGTTCGTTTAATATTTTGGATCCCAACTTGCTTCAAAGTAGCACCAATCTGCTTTATTTTCGTTTGCCTCGAAAATAGTAGCTATAATGCTTAATTTTTAAATCTTCTCAGAATATTTTTATCAAAACAAGGTAGTCAGAAAATAAAGTAGTATTGGCTCCAAACTAGTGACTAACACGTAAACCACAACATATAATTTAGTAAGTAAACCGCGGTGAAATTCTCAAGTGTTGGAAGCCATGCCTCGTGAGCTGGATGTAAACTTACTGCTTCTTTAGACATGTCATCGGGCAAACGTTGTTCGCTTTGACATTGTGGGTGATCTGCCTCAGGCCTTGCAACCATACCTTTTTGGAAATATATCAATTAATTTTTGAAAATTTGTAACGTCATTTTTGCCTCGTGGAAAGCAACGCTGATGCCTCGGAGTGAGAAATGTAGTGCTCTGTGAGGCTGTTGTGTGTAGGCCAGTGATGATGAGTTGGGCCTTGATTCGTTGCTTCAAAAATAGTGAAAATCGAACAGAACAATATTGCCCATTTGCTTGGACGATTGTAATTAAATTTGGTTTAAGATCTATTTCAAACTGACCTTGGCTGTGGCTGCATCAGGGCACACGACGTGCTGGTAGTTTATGTTGATGTAGTCAGTACCACTGCATATTGTCAACGATTTCTCTTCTAAGTTTTCTCCATGTTTGTTCACCAAATTCATATTTAATTTTGAATCCTGCGGAAACATCATTGAAACATTAGTAACTACAAACTTACTATAGTTAAATATAGAGTTATAGTTCCTCGTTCATACTGTAGGCTAATTGTTAAGTAAACAAAGAAACCTTTTTTCATTTCACTAAATCCCTAATTTATTTCTGCAACAGGAAAACATTCCACATCAGGAACCACCTGCCCCCTATTTTTAATCTCGTAAAACGGGAAATGAATCACCTGTCCATTCTTATCCTCAAAGTACTCCGGCCCTGGTTATATTCGTTAGTTTCACTTTATTGAGGATACTGTTCCTTTGGTCAATTAAAACAGGGTTTCTGACGTCAAATATTGGGACGCCAGTTTTTGTGAAGGGAAAATCATCAAATGACTTCTCCTGCCCAGGGTAGGGCGGGTTAAATATATATATATATATATATAGAGTGGTGTATTGGCACATTGAAGCGCCTGCCTCTTGTCTGGTTCAGATCAGGCGGCGAGCTACTCTTACTCGCCGTCTACAGACCCGCGCTTACGGTGACTGGAGATCATCTCTCGATCCCGAATACATTGTGATCCCTAAACAAATATTTACGAAGAAATGTTTGCGAATGCGAAACTAGTGTTTTATGTGTTTCAGGCTCGAGTTACAATGTGTTTTTAGTCAGTAAAATATAGCAGGATGTGTTTTTAGTGTCACTGTAACGGGAATTTTTGTAAACAAAAAATATTAGCTTCTCTTTGTGAACGTGGAGTTCTGTTGTTTGGTTTTGTTTGTTGGTGGTTCTTTGTGGGGAATATTTTGTTCTTGTTTTTGTTAGTTTTGGTTACCTATTTTACTTTTTTGCTAGTTTGACATATGTATTTAGTCGTCAGCTACTACCTCGGTTACGGAAGACCAACAGCGAAGGTTGTGCCTTCAACAGTTTTTCAAAGGTTTGACTAAACTATTATTGGATTTTTTTTAAATAAAATTCATACATTTCTCGATAATCTACAATACTAAAGTAAAAATAAAAATGATATTCACTACCACTTTTTTAATCCTTCGAATAGTTTCTCAAATCTCGACCTAATTTGAACAAAACATCAGACTCCATCTCTCTACATCCACCAAGTTGTCTAACGAACTGACAAAATTTTGCTTTCTGCATAAAAACTATACTATAACTACAAAATTTAGTTCAGAAAATTATTCTAAAAAGCATTCATCAACATAATTCCAAGTTAGAACAATTTACATGACTGCACGGTTGGTGCAGTGTGTCTCGGGTTCAATTCCCGCACGAAACAACTCTTTGTGTGATTTACAAATTGTTGTTCCGTGTCTGTGTATGATGTGTATGTGAAATTGTATGTGTATTCGTAACCCCACCAACGACACAGGAGAAAATCAAAGATTGGAGCAACGTTTTATAAAAAAAAATACCTTTGGCACTCCGCCGGATCTGACGTCACTGACTTGACAGAGCTCGATGACGTCACCATCCTGTAACAATAACACAGATTATGTTAATGAAGTTTTAAGATGATCGTTATTGTTTATGTACCAGTTCTTGCCGCAATTTGCTTGTATTACTGAGATGTTTACTGTATATTTAGTTTTTAATCTATATTACCTAATATAATATCTACATACGTCTTTATTATAATCATCAATTCACTCAAACTCTTGCGTTTGCATTTTAGTTAAAAGTAGGTACATACCATACTACCACATAGTATAAACCATAGTCGCTTTCTCTGTCTCTGTGTCTGTTTGTGTCTTTAAAACTACGCAACTCATTTTGACGTGGTCTTTTAAAAGACGATTGAAGAGGCAGAAATAATAATACCCATTTATGAAACAGGTACAAAAAGCAAAATAACAAAAATAAACATAATTTGACAATAGTAGTTTAACCGACTGCACAGAGAATTCACGCTTAGATCGTTTCCTATTAAGAACAACAAATTGTACGTGTGACTTGACATCAACCTTATTTGCGTTTCAAACCATCCACTACCAGAAAACAGGTAAATAATTCATGAGATTCCCAAGCTCCCACTATTATTCAAATCATACATAATTCAAATTGAATTTCATACTACCATACCATATCAACGCTTAGGTATATTATAAAGATAGCAATAGGTTTGTCTCTATTATATAGAACTCAAAATAGGTGAAAAAGTGTGTGTTCTTATGGCCTCAGCCGCATTTTCACATCATCATATCATCAGCCTATCAGTTTCCTCTTCTTAGCAAAGGCCTTTTAGATAGTTTGAGCATTAATCACCACGCTTGCACGATAAGTGGCCTGTCATTGGCTTGAAATAAATTTAGAAATTCGGAAAAGTCATATTGGTACTCGCAAAGGTTTCGTAATTTCGAATCATCCGTCGCGACGTGCACGCTGCTCATGAATAAGAGTCCCATTGTGGATTGAAACTAGTAGAGCTTTTCTCGATTACTTCACGTAAGTGAAAATCAGCGCCGCGACACTGTCTCGTATGGGGTCGCTGCATAATGCTGAGCGAGGGCCATTTCGCGTGCTTGGACGCATATTTTTCTCCTACCCTCTACTTTTGTTATATTGTTTTACCATGCTTTATGAATTTTTATTTTTACCTATATTTTTATTATCTTGTTCGTTTTGTGTCTTTTATGCGTCCCAGACGCGAATAAATACTTTTTGTTTGTTATTTACATTAAATTTAGTGTCTCACGATAATTGCTACTCAATCCGCACCCTCATGAAAGGTCCTTTGAGGTCTTAACCTCCGTGCAACGATGACATTGTGCATTTTATTGTACTAAAATAAATCTCGCGACGAAACCGCAAGCGCGACCGCCTGTTGGCGGTTTCCTGTTACACGACCTGGAGGACACGGTGGAGCATACGGTGGCAGTAGGCCTTGCTTGAGTTGAGTACCTCCGTGTCCTCAGAGAAGAGATGACTGGCGGCGGTTTCTCAAAAAAAGGGCAGGCGATTAAAAGGCGACATTGCTTACACATTACTCTTACTAGCTTCCGCCCGCGGCTTCGTCCGTTCGTTATGTTGACAAAAAGCTCGGTATATGTTAATCCCGAGTGTTACATAGTAATGTTGTATGAGGTTATTTACGTACGAAATTAAACACTTCTCTGTTCTAAGCTGGTTTCATTCAGACAATACACACTATTGTAATATTTATATACACACTAGCTATTCTCGTGCGTTTTCACCCTCTGCTCGGCTTCATTTGATCGTAGCGTGATGTTTTATACTCTATAGCACTCAGGAACATTGTAGCTATCTATCAGCGAAGAATTTTGGCTATCTGACCAGCCCGGCAGCGGTTCAAAAGATTACCTCCTACATACAAACTTACAAATTTTACCCATTTATAATATTAGTATAGAAAAATTAACGACTTATTTACGTTCGAGAGAAGCTCTATTAGTTTCGAGTCACGACGGGACTCTAGTTTATGAGTTACGTGCGCGTTGGAACGATGGCATGCAGGCGATCATAACACGTGAGTAAGTCAATTCAATCAATTTAATATATCCGATCCGATACAGAAATAGAAAAGAAGTAAAAATCCATTGTTCCATTGTAATAACTAACTAATTGCATCTTTTTTATGAAGTCAATTAATTGACCTCATTGTTTCTCAAAGTAATTCTTTTTTTAAATTCAATTTTCCTATTTCTATCATTGTATCTATTTCCAATTATAAGGAAGCTTATAAGGAGGTTTCATTGTCTGATTTAATTATAGGTGAGGATAAACCAGTTGTACACAACGATACGTAGTAGAAAATACAATCAAATATAACGTTTAACAATTACCACCACCAATCGTTGATATTTTTATATATCTGTGGAGGCTAGTCATTAGCAACTTAATTATATATTACATGCACTTATAGGCTGATGATGATAGAACTCTAATAAAGTTCTATTACTACAGTTGTAACACTGTGATACTTATTAATGGAGTAGATTAATAAGTATCACAGTGTTACAACTGTAGTAATAGAACTTTATTAGTAGGGCCGTTAGAATAAATATCAAATTATAGGATTTAGCAAAATCCTTGCAATACGGATGAACCTGAGACTCCATTTTAAGTGGTAAAATAAGCTTTATTGTCTGCTTCAGAAAGTAGGAAATACACACATCACAGCAAATCAGAACAAATAAATCTATACTAATTTAGAGGTATGAGGAGCAGGGTGGTAAGTTCCTCATCCTCCATTGAAAAGGGAGGATCCTCCGACCAGGCGAGGTGTTCGTGCCTGGTGGGCTACTGCCCGACGGTTGTTGTCGGGATATCTGTATGGGTGCTAATTGTGTTGAAAACTCTTATAGCGCGATGTAGAATCTTGCTCGTGATTGGTGCTGTTGTTTATGTAGTGCGCTAGATGTCGCTACATCGCTCCCCTCCGAGACCGGAGGTCGTTAGCTGGTTGCGACGTCTGTGAGATGCTTGTCGAGCCAGTTGCTGGTTTCAGTGCGTCGAATCTGTCTGCGAAGATGCCCCAGTGAGTCGGGTGGTGCAGTGCTGAAGAGTGGCTAGCTGCTGCGTCGACCAGGAGAGGGAGTACGTCTCTGCTTGCTGACCGGCCGGTGCAGTATGCTGTGCCGAAGATGCTAATGAGGCTGTAGGTGCTGACCAGGAATGCGCGTTGGCTGCATGCTGGTGGTCAGGGAACCCGTTGTAGCCGTGGAAGCTGCTGACTGTAGGATTCGCTGCTTGAAAGCTCCAGGAAGTGATGACGTCATGGCTATGAAGTAGTTGCACGAAGGCTGCTTGATGTTCATGTTCGGGGTCACCAAAAATGTAGCAGCGATGTGAATATTGTTGAAATAAAACAAGAGTAGAAGTGTAGAAATATGAGCGTATATATTTTCTGTTCATACATTGAGCTTAAGTACAAAATCACTGGGGCTGAAGTAGTGGCAGTCGCGCGATAAAAGCGTCGCGCGATTGTCCAATAAGAACGTGCCTTTCCTGACTCTGCAAGTAGCTAAAAGAAACGAGACAGGTGCGCGCGCGAGCGAGATAGCACTAACGTAAATATAACGCGTTCGCAGCGCGTGCGATCTTCATTCCTATGCGATGCGTGACTTGAGGAAGATGTAGCGATGCGTACCTCACACTAATATTATAAAGAGGTAACATTTGTAAGTTTGTAAATTTGTATATAGGGGGTAATCTTTGGATCGCCGGTCGGATTGCCAAAATGCTTTCACTGATACAATGTTCCTGAGTGCTATAAAACATCACGCTACGATCAAATAACCTGAGACCTCGATCACAGCTTACTAATTTATTCCGAAGTGACCTTTTCACGAACAACTGTAGAACTCTTGAACGACAAAGGAAACGTTTCTCAATGGGAAATGAACTTCCTAACTACGTCCCATTGCCGGAATTAAGTAGCTTCACAGGTTTATACCCACTTACTTTTACAATGGAATCTGGTATATTGTACTTGGACAGTATAACATGGATAATATAATATAAAAAGTAAGTGTAAGTTCCTAAGCGAGCGAGAATTCATATGACAAATTCGTTTCTCATATGAGCCAACAAATATATACTATTCAATATGTTAATTTATATTTAAAATATTACTGTAGTTTACAGAAGAACTTGCAACAGACACTAAAAAGAAAAAAAAAAAAAAACTACGTTTAAAAAAACCGACTTCAAAAACAAAAAAGTGTCAAATAAGTAATTAAAATTGATATTTTAATAGCACTCTTACGTTACGTACGCGAAGCTAATACTTTTAATATTAATAATAAAACACTATCAATTCTATGTGCTACCTATTCATAGGTTTGAAGTCGGTGCCAAGCCTAATACATAATATAAAAAGCATGATTACATGAGTACCTAAACTCGCCGGGCGCGTTTGAATTTGTTGGTTAGAATTTAAGAAATTTAGTACCGATTTTCTAACTTGATGGCGTTAGCGTAGAATCAGAAGTCTATATGGTTTCGTTACCGGCGAAATTGTAATTATAGCTTAAAAAGATATTTGGATGAATTATGAATTCTGAAAGTTTTCTCGTACTTGGTTGTTAAAAGTAGTAGTAGGTAGCTGCGTTGTTAGTTGTGGAAATTTCGTCTTTTAGCAGTTAAACAGTCTTAATTCTCATTTAGTTTTATTCTGTTTAGGGCTTGGCACCGACTTCAAACCTATGAATAGGTAGCACATAGAATTGATAGTGTTTTATTATTAATATTAAAAGTATTAGCTTCGCGTACGTAACGTAAGAGTGCTATTAAAATATCAATTTTAATTACTTATTTGACACTTTTTTGTTTTTGAAGTCGGTTTTTTTAAACGTAGTTTTTTTTTTTTTTTCTTTTTAGTGTCTGTTGCAAGTTCTTCTGTAAACTACAGTAATATTTTAAATATAAATTAACATATTGAATAGTATATATTTTTAAGTAGCTATGTGTAGGCCAACGAAAGGAGCCGCTCGATTATAAAATAAAGTTCCCA